TCCGGAGGGGCCACAGGGAAGTGGGCCCTGTAGGTCCCAGCCGAGAACCGAGCTCTCTGGGCTGGGGAGGGGGGCTCCCGGCTCCTGCCGCAGACACTGTGCCCCTTGAGCTACACAAGGGGGCAGCTGGCCTTCTGAAGCCACCAGGGGCCTGGCAGCACTAAGAGGGACAGCTGAGAGGGGTGTGCTCCTGAGAGAGGGGGAGGGAGCGTCCCCCCACTGACCCCACAGGTGCAGTCTGTGTGGGTGAGGCCCCTGCCCATAGGAGGAGCTCCCAGTGAAGGGAGTGTCCCGCCCCCCCCTTACCTGTCACAATAAGGAGCAGGGGGTCGCTCATGTCCGACCAGAAACTCTCATGATGATATTTCCTGCAGTAGTACAGGCCTGCGTTGACTATGTCCATGGATCTGATGAGGAAACTGACCTTGTCCCTGAGACCCAGACCCACCACAGTTATGTCCAAAAGCTTATGTTCTTCTTTATACAGACGGTAGACATCGGTGTCCGGAGACCCCTGACACCAGATGGTCACAGAACTTCCCAGTGGGATGATGGAGTGGGGGTCAGCCCAGATGGATGGTTTGGGGTGGTTGCCTGGAAAGGAGTCCAATCTGTAGCCCCAAGGGCTTCCCCTCCCTCAGCTTCCACAGCTCTCACTGCAAGGCCCCTCCCAAACCGGTCACCCCTAGCACAGACCCTGGGTGCCTCCCCCGAGCTGCCCACAGGGACTCACTGGGCTGACCAGAGGTTTTGGGGGGAGCTCACCTTGCCGTCCCTGGTTCCACTGGCCCCAACACAGCCCTGGGAGAGAGTCCCTGTGAGAAGTTTGTCCTTCTACCCACACAGACAAGCATCACTGTTGATCTGGGGTCAGATTGGGGCTCAGAACAAGCCTCCCCCAAAGCTCCAGCTTCCCCATGAGCCTCCCGAGGCGCTGGGGTCTCTAAGGGACCAGGACCTGTGTGAGGAGGGAGCCTCACCCCTGCCCTGCTCCTCAACGCTTACCAAGACACACAAGGGCGGTGAGCGCCCGGGCCGTGGCGCAGCCTCGCATGGTTCCAGGCTGCTGACGAGTGATAATGACTCGTGAGTCTAGCAGGACACACACAGGGTGTGCCAGTCCCAGGCCTTGTGTCATGTGTCGCGAGCTTCCTCATCAGCGGCCTCACGGGAAGGGGAACAGCCCCCCTGTGCGGCCGGCTCTGCTCTCGCCAGATGCCGAGGCTGAGGCCGCAGCCGGGCCTCTGGGAAGCTCTCAGGTCAGATGGGAGCTCCGGCCCTGACTCTGCCCTCCCAGGCGCTGGGGGGACTGGAGCGCTCACTCCTTTCCTGGGCCCCATCGGTGCACACTTCTTTCCTTCCTTCCATCAGCCAGACAACCAGGAGATGTTCAGTAAGCACTTCTC